AGAACATACAATGGAGAAAGCAAAGTCTCTTCAAAAAATGGTGTTGGGAAAACTGGACAGCCACATGCAAAAGAATGAACATAGACAATTATCTTACACCATGCACAAAAATTAACTCAAAATGGATTAAAGACTTAAATGTAAGACCTGAAACCATGAAACTTCTAGAAGGGAACATAGGCAGTACGCTCTTTGACATGGGTCTTAGCAGCATATTTTCAAGTACCATGACTTAGTGGACAAGAGAAACAATAGAAAAAATAAACAAATGGGACTACATCAAACTAACAAGCTTCTGCACAGCCAAGGAAATCATCAATGAAACAAAAAGACAACCTAACAGTTGGGAGAAGATATTTGCAAAGCAAATATCTGATAAAGGGTTAATATCTAAAATATATAAAAAACTCATACATCTCAACAACAAAAAACTTAACAACCCAATTTTAAAAATGGGCAAAAGATCTGAATAGACATTTCACCAAAGAAGATATACAGATGACCAACAGGCACATGAAAAGACGTTCAACATCATTAACTATCAGGGAAATGCAAATCAAAACTACAATGAGATATCACCTCACTCCCATCAGAATGGCTATAATTAACAAGACTGGAAACAATAAGTGTTAGAAAGGATATGGAGTGACGGGAACTCTCATACACTGCTGGTGGGAGTGCAAACTGCTGCAGTCACACTATGGAAAACAGTATGGAGATTCCTCAAAAAATTAAGAATAGAACTACCATACGATCCAGCTATTTCACTGCTGGGTATTTATCCAAAGAATATCAAAACATGAATGCATAAATATATATGCACCCCTATGTTCACTGCAGCATTATTGACAATAGCCAACACTTGGAAGCAACCTAGGTGTCCATCAGAGTATGAATGAATAAAGGAGATGTGGTATATATACACAATGGAATACTACTCAGCCATAAGAAATGATGAAATCTGGCCATGTTTGACAACATGGATGGACCTTGAGGGTATTATGCTGAGTGAAATAAGTCAGAGGGAGAAAGTCAAATACTGTATGATCTCACTCATAAGTAGAAGATAAAAGCAATGACAAACAAACACATAGCAACAGAGACTGGATTGGTAGTTACCTGAGGGGAGGGAAGGGGGAGGAGGCAAAAGGGGTGATTAGGCACATGTTCATGGCAATGGATTGTAATTAGTCTTTGGGTGGTGAACATGATGTAATCTACACAAGACTCTATAATGATGTACACCTGAAAAAAAAAAAAAAGGAAGGAAAGAAAAGGAAGACCCAGGACTCAAATGGCTGGCAGTTGAGGGCCTAGCTGGCTCCTCCTTACTTACCCAAATCTCCCTACTATTTCACCTCCCAGCTCAAAGTAAAAGTCTAAAACATGCCCTAGTAAAAGGAGGAAAAATAAAATACACAAATCAGATTAAAATCTTTTACATAGCTATTAATTTATTGCATACTTTCAGATGTATTGGTGAAAAAATGGTTAAGTATACAGAATTTTTGGAGCAATCTGCTCAGTGGTATCCTTTTGTGTCAGGCAGCCAACTTCTTGAAAGTTCTCCTCGTTACCAAACCAGGTTCGTTTTTTCTGCTGCATGATCACTAAGACAAGGAGTTTGTGTCAGAGAAAGGGTTTATTCACGAGGCAGCTAGGTGAAGAGACAGGAGAACAAATCTCAAATCTGCCTCTCTGAAAATGGGGATTGGGGATATTTATTGGATAAGGGAGCAGGATGGTCTGAAGTGTGGCGATTGATGATTGGAGGTGAGGAGAAGTCAGGTGATTGATGATCAGCACAAGTGTAGTCAAGCTTCATGGCTTTTCATAGGACACATTCACAAAATGGCGACGTTAGCATGATCTGAGGGTAGAGTTTTTGGCCCCCTGATGTCAAAGGGTCACCTATTGGTCATCCATGCAGGCTCAGTTGATGAGTCAGTGGTCTTAACTAGCCTGAACTGGACAAGGAGTCAGCTCTCAGTTCCTGAAAAACGTAAGCACCTGTTACCGTGGTGACCCAAGCATCAGAGATGTTCTCTGTAGGGTCGGCTTTCGTAATGCATTATCTACCTGCTTTTGCAAACAGACAACTAACTGAGTACAGTTAAAGCAGGTTGGCCCCTGGTTTCATCCTGAAACTTATTTTTCTCTTTCATCCTGACCCTCTGGCCTTGAGTAACATCTTGCCCTGCTTGCCCCTGGAGACCCCTATACTGGTCTTAGCCGCCAGAATTTCAGCTTGAGGAGGAAGGCTCTCCTGTGTCTGCCCAGCACGCTGCATTCTTCTGGGAGTAGTAACCCCCTTTCTTTTATAAAATGCTCCTCCTCTGCCACACTCCAGCCATGTGGAGTCATGGAAGCTGCCATGTGCTTATAGACCCCACCTTTCTGGCCACAGCTGACTGGTCTAGGATGGGATCTGATCCAGATGGCCAGCCAATGACCTTTCCCCAGTTTTTGAATTTTAGAGAGGGCAGAGTTGGTCCTTCTCTAGTGCATATGCAGTGAAAGATATACAGACAGAAACAGAGAAAAGGATGGTGAGAATTCCAGTGGTTTTCAAGTCCTTCATTGGACTTTTCCTAAGTCCCAGTTGCTCCTCTGAACCTCCCAGGGTTTGACTATATGACACACCTCTATATCCTTCCAATAAATTCCTCTTTTGTCTAATCTAAAAAGAAGAGAGAGAGAGAAAAATCACATAATTATCTCACTAGATGCAAAAAAAAAGCATATGGCAAAACCCGATACCCTGGGGGCTGGCCCCATGGCCAAGTGGTTAAGTTCGCAAGCTCCACTTGGGCAGCTGAGGGTTTCACCGGTTCGGATCCTGGGCGCGGAAGTGGTACCGCTCGTCAGGTCACACTGAGGCGGCGTCCCACATGCCATGACTAGAAGGACCCACAACTAAAATATGCAACTATGTACTGGGGGGGATTTGGTGAGAAAAAAGCAGAAAAAAAAAAAAAAGATTGACAACAGCTGTTAGCTCAGGTGCCAATCTTAAAAAAAAAAAAAAAAAAAAAACTAAACACCCTTTCATGATAAAAACACACTAAAAATTAGCAATAGAAGAGAATTTCCTCAACCTGATAAAGGGCATCTCTGAAAACCCAAAGCTAACATAATTAATGGTGAAAGACTGGGTGCTTCTCTCCCAAGATCAGGAGGAAGACAAGGATGTCTGCTCTCACCGACGCTGTACTGGAGTTCTATGCGGGTCAATTAGGCAAGAACAGAAATAAAAAGCATCCAGATTGGAAAGGAAGAAGTGAAACTATCTCTGTTTACAGATGACATGATCTTGTATATAGAAAATCCTAAGGAACCCACTGAAAAATTAGAGCTGGTAAATGAATTCAGCAAGGTTACAGGATACAAGATCAATATATAAAAATCAGTTGTACTTCTATATCCCAGCAATAAACAATACAAAAATGAAATTAAAATACAATACAAAAATAAAATTAAAAGAATTCCATTAATAATACTATCAAAAAGGTTAAAATACTTAAGAATAAATTTATCAAAAAGGTGTGAGTACACTGAAATACACTGAAAACTATAAAACGTCATTGAAAGAAATGAAAGAAGACCCAAAGAAGCAGAAAGACGCCACATCTTCATGGATGGAAGACTTAATATTCTTAAGATGGCAATATTCCTAAAATTAATCTACAGATTCAGTGCAATCTCTATCAATATTCTATCTGGCCTTTTTTTTTTTTAAAGAAATTGACAAGCATATGCTAAAATTCATATGGAAATGCAAAGGACACGGAATAGCCAAAACAGTTTTGAAAAAGAACAAAGTTGAAGGACTGACACTTCCCAATTTCAAATCTTACTACAAAGCTATAGTAAACAAGACTGGACTAAGGATAGACACACAGATCAATGAAATAGAATGTAGAGTCCAGAAATAAACCCATACATGTATGGTCAATTGATTTTCAACAAGGGTGCCCACTGAATGGTGAAAGAATAGTCTTTTCAACAAATGGTGCTGGGACTGGATGTCCACATATCCACATGCAAAAGAAAAAAGTGGGACCTCTAACTCACACCATATATAAAAACTCACTCAAATGGATCAAAGACCTAAATGTAAGAGCTAAAACTATAAAACTATTAGAACAAAACATGGATGTGAATCTTCCTGACCATGAATTAGGCAATGGTTTCTTAGATATGGCACGTAAAGCACAAGCGCAAAAAGACAAAATAGACGAATTGAAATTCATCAAAATTAAAAGGTTTTCTGCTTCAAAGGACACCACCAAGAAGTGAAAAGACAATGCACAGAATGGGAGAACGTATTTGCAACTCATTTATCTGATGAGGAACTTGTATCCAGAATATATAAAGAACTCTTATGATTCAACAATAAAAAGACAACCCAATTTTTTTTAATGGGAAAAGGATCCGAATAGACATTTATCCAAAGAAGATATGCAAATAGCCAAGAAGCACATGAAAAGATGCTCAACATCATTAGTTATTGCAGAAAAGCAAATCAAAATCAAAATGAGATACCATTTCACACCCACTAGGATGGCTACAATCAAATGAACACAACATCTTTGTTGGTGAAGATGAAGAAATTGGAACCCTCATACATTGCTGGAATGTAAACTGTGGCAGCCACTTTGGAAAACAGTTTGGCGATACCTCAAAAAGTTCAACACAGAGTTACCATATGGCCCAGCAATTCTACTCCTAGGTATATACCCAACAGAATTGAAAACATATGTTTATACAAAAATTGGTATATGAATATTCATAGCAGCATTATTCATAATAGCAAAAAAGTAGAAATCACCCAAAATGTCCATCAACTGATAAGTGAATAAACAAAATGTGGTATATCCACACAATGGAATATTATTCAGCCATGAAAAGGAATGAAGTACTGATACATGTTACAACATGGATGAACCTTAAAAACATTATGCTAAGTGAAAGAATCCAGATGCAAAAGGCCTCATATTGTATGATTCCTCTTATATTAAATGTCCAGAGACATAGGCAAACCCATAGACAGAAAGCAGATTAGTGGCTGTCGTGGGCTGAGGGGAGTGGGAACAAGGAATGACTGCTAATAGGTACAAGGTTTCTTTTCAGGGTGATGAAAATGTTCTGGAATTGGACATTAGTGATAGTCACACAACCCTGTAATGTGCTAAAGACCACTGGATTGTACTCTTTAAGGGGTAAATTTTATAGTATGGGAATTATATCCCAATTAAAAGGAAGTGATGCAGAAGTGAATGTGAAGAAATTTCAGGAACAACTTAACCAATTTAATTCACATATATTTTCCTCATGTGGATTTATGAGTGATATATGATGAAAATACTTCTCAATTAAATATAAAATTAACATGTTAAGTGATAAGAAAGCATTATGTCATCTTTTAATCGACAGTAATTTTTCTCTTTTAGCTGCACCAAAATAAAGTTACATCTTACACAGATGGCTTCTTTGAGTCAATGAAATATGACATGACAGAAGTGGCATTGCAGATTACTGGGAAAAAGGAGGTAATAATCAATAAATGGTGCCTGGATAATTGGTTAAACATATGGGGAAAAACTGAATCCCACCCACACCAGTTACTAAACATAATTCCAGATAAAGACTCAATTTTCAAAGGTAAAATTTTAATACTTATAGGAGAAAATATAGAACATGTTTATGACAGAGGCAGAGAAAGATTCTTTAACAAGACACAAAAGGCACTAAGCATAATAGAAAACAATGATATATTCGACTATAGTAAAAGTTCTAAAGCCACTGAATTGGACATGTTAAAATGGTGAATTTCAAATTGTATGAATTCTACCTCAGTAAAAATATTAAGAACTGTTCATCAAAATCCACCATAAATAATGTAAAATAAAAACAGAAAATATACTTTGCAAGAACTAAAATCAATTAAAAAAAAATGACAACCCAAAGGAACCCTGGACAAAAGACATGAAGAGGCAATTCATAGAATAGACTATATAGGGAAAAAATAAACCTATGAAAAGGTGTTTGACCTCATTAGGGTTCAGCGAAACTCAAATGAAGACAACAAAAAGATAACTATTTCCATCTAGCAGATAGGGAAAATCAAGAAGTCAGACAATACCAAATATTGGCAAGCATCCGGATCAATGGGGACTTCTGTATTCTGCTGATGACAGCATAAATTGATCCATCTTTATTTATTTGTTTTAAAGATTGGCACCTGAGCTAACAAGTGTTTCCTTTTTTTTTTCTTCTCCCCAAAGCCCCCCAGTACACAGTTGTATACTCTAGTTGTGAGTGCCTCTGGTTGTGCTATGTGGGACGCCACCTCAGCATGGCTTGATGAGTGGTGCCATGCACATGCCCAGGACCCTAACTGGCAAAGACCCTGGGCTGCCAAAGCGGAGCGTGCAAACTTAACCACTTGGCCGCGGGCAGCCCCCATACAACATGTTTAGAAAACAACTTAGCACTATCTTGTAATGTCAGATATTTGCCCTGAGAACCTGTAATTTCTCCCTTCAGTACACTTAGAAAAATTCTTGTAGGTGTACCGCAGTAAACGTGGATAACCATATTCATGGGGATTCTGGGGAGCAGCAGCCGTGCTGGTGTAACTGTTTAATCTCTCCAAATCCCGCAGAAGGATACACACAGCAGCCAGGATTGCAAACTAAAACCCCACAGGCAATGACTGCGACAAACTAGATGACACAGATCCCACAAACCCTGAAACCCCAGTGGATGGAGACACACCCACGAGACCTGCAGCCGCCGCCGCTGTGTCAGAGGAAGCCGGAGGGAGCAATGGCCCTCCTCACAAACCTAGGGACCCCAGATAACGACAGTGAGTCACGGAAAAGCCAGCGGGCCAAGCGGAGAAGCGCGCCCGTCGCCAGGAGGGAGGCGCGTACTCCGCCAGCAACTGGGGACAAGGGGCGGACCCGGCCTAGGAAACCCTCAGAACTGACCAGCCCAGGCTCCCATCCAGGACGAACCCCAGCTGAGGAGTAACTGCTGGAAGAGAATCCAAATGGAGCAGGTCAGGAAAAGAGAGAAAAGAAAAAAAGAGGCTCCCCATAAAAGTACAGAACAGAGTCAGAAGATGTCTAAGTGAGGTGCCATAGTTCTTTCCTACTTAACAAAAACAGCAGAGAGGGCGCTGTGAGGTTGTGACATCAGAACCACTGTTCAGTTAGACCTCCCGTGTGAAAGTCCCGGAAATCTAATCTCATGTACACATAAGTAACAGAAAAGGATTGAAGTCAAATCCCACACCGTTATTCAAGGAAAAAGTAAGGAGAGTAACATCCCTGCAGACAATAAAAGCAGGCCAGGGAAACGCACAGGTGCAAACTGTCACCTAATATTTCAAAATGGCGGGAGGAAGGAGGGGAGGTGGAGTGGGAGCCTACAGATGAAAGGAGAGCTGAAAGACAGGCACAGCTGAGTGGTAGTTTTGGAATTGGTGATACTACGCAAAGGAAAGTAAAAGAGGCGATCAGACGGAAGTCAGGCTGGAGGAGGCGGGTGATGTGCTCCGGAAAGGCAGCGTGGCGGGCGGACGGGGTCAGAGCTGGTCTCCTTTCCATGGGGTGTTTAAAGGTGTTCACTTTTTAATTCATTAACTTTTCATTTTTTCTTATGCTATATATACACGTGTGCAAGTGTGTATGTGTGTATCTGATGTTACTTTAACAACTAAAATTGTTTTTAAAAAGAATGTTCATAGCAGGATTGTTCATAATTGCCCCAAAGTGGAAACAACCCAAATCCCATTGACAGGAAAAAGTGTGAATAAATTGTACTGTTCAGATGATGGCCTATTTATTAGTCAGCAAGGAAAATAAACCACCTCTTGTTCCGGTGAAATCTAGAAACATAATATGGAGTGAAAAAAGCAAGTAGGAAAAAATAATAAGCTGTATGGTACATTTTTATAAACTTCAGAAACCAGGCAAAAACCAAACAATACAGTGTTTAGAGATACATACATATGTGATTTTAAAAACTATTTTAAGAAAGCAAGGGTGGTAAACACAAAATTTAGCACGGAATACGTACATACGTGATTTTTAAAACTACACATTTAAAAAGCAAGGGAATGATAAACCCAAAATTCAGGATGGTTTTTATTTTGAGGAAAGCAAGGAGAATGAGAGGGGAGGCACACTCAAGCTTTTTTCTTAAGTTGTTTGGTGGGTTAACAGTGTACCTCTCATTATTATGCACTGTAATTTACAAATATGTCATATGTTGAGTTATTCAGATCTGCACACAAAGAATTCAAAATGTAATTCTCCCTTTCATCAGCCATTCGTTCATTCATTCAGTCACTCAACAAACAGTTACTGTGTGTCTACTATATGCCAGCACTGTGCTAGGTTCCAGGACAGGGCAGGGAACAAGACAGACACTGCAGCCGCCCTCCTGTAGCTCACAGCCTCCTAGGACTTATTGTGTCACTGGAGATGGTGCTGGGTGTGAAGGAGCTTTTTAAAAACCTGCAGAAAGTAAGAGCTAGGACAGTCCACAATCAAAAGAGTCAGTTTCAGGATAACTGGGAGATACCTTCTTGGTAACACTTGAAGGAGATAATTTTAAAATTAAGATAATTAAGCAGCCAACAGGAGACGGCAGAAATAACAGACAGGCACTCCAGACAGTGGCTCCCCAACACTGCCAATTTGGTTCCATGAAGAAGTTTTCATTTGTTTTTAAAAATATATAGTATACAGGGGCCAGCCCTGTGGTGCAGCGGTTAACTTTGCATGTTCCACTTTGGTGGCCCAGGGTTCGCTGGTTCGTATCCTGTGTGTAGACATGGCACCGCTTGGCATGCCATCCTGTGGTAGGCATCCCACATATAAGGTAGAGGAAGATGGGCATGGATGTTAGCTCAGGGCCAGTCTTCCTCAGCAAAAAGAGGAGGATTGGCGGCAGATGTTAGCACAGGGCTAATATTCCCCCAAAAGAAAAAAATACATATAGGATACATATACATACATACATGCCCACACACACACGTTTGCACACGCACACACGCAGATACATGGACTTTGTTGCTATTTAGGGAAGTATGGATTTGTTTTTAATGTCCTTCCTTGGTGACATAAAGAGCTGGCAAATCCAAATCAACCTCTAAAATTTAAATTATTTATTATTTAAATCCAAGAGTCTCAGAATCGTGGCCCAGAGTCACGTTTGGACCCAACATTTTTTTTTTTTTGGAAGAGAATGCGAGAAGACTGAGCTCACTTTTCAACAAGTCACTGACAGTACCGCCTTGGTTTAAGACTTGCTGGGTTTCAGGAGCGGCCTGGGCTGAGCTCCCGGCATTGCTCCGCCCTGTCACCCCGAGAGGGGCCCGGACAAATTCCCCAGCTTATCCTGGGGAGTGGGGATGAAAACCACTCCATGGGCTGTCGTGAAAATTAAAAGAGACAATACACGTTACAGAAGATAAGGAAGGGTAAAGATAACGCTGTGTCTCAATCCGGGACAGGAAAAACAGCAGCGTGCGTACGCACGTACGTGTGTACGTGTACGTGCACGTGCACGTGCGGGGCGTGCATGTCCATATTACTACAAACATGTTCCTCCCGCAAGGTGTCTCTAGTACAGAATCAACCTGCAAGAACTTCCATCTGCAGCTCCGGGACCCTTTGGGTGGGGTGTACTGTGTCTGGGGTCCTGTTTAACCCGCTGCCCCTTCTTCATTCTGCAGGCCAGGGTAGCCACCAGCTGCACTCCTTTTAGCTCAACTTCACAATTTCTGCTGTTTCCAACAGTGTGTGAACCCTATTTTTCTTATATCAATGTTTTCTTTAAACAACTCACTTCTTTCCTTGAATACGTTCATTTTTCAAGTGTTCCTTCTGGAGAGGCAGCACGGCGCAGAGGTTAAGAACACAAAGGTTGGAGCCAAGCTGCCCCAGTTTCAACCGCTGCTTCTGCCACTTCCTAACCTCATTTAACCCACTCGTGCCTCGGTTTCCCCATCTATAAAACGAGGGTGATTATAGTTGTTATCACAGAGGTTTATGATTATGTTATGAGAATCCTAGGACTTTCTCTTTGTGATGCGTTTGAAACAGGCCTTCCACAGAGTAAGTGCTATGTTAAGCGTTTGCTAAATAAGCACCTCTAACGTTAATGGAAAACCGGTATTACTTGTCATAAAGCCTTAAAACAAATAAAACCTTAAAATAAATAAAAACAAAATAGTGTTATTAAATTCTAGCTACATGTTTACCTGCTCAAATGCTTAGTGGAGTGGCCCTGGTCTGTCTTTAAAAATACAGAACAGGGGCTGCCCAGTGGTGTAGTGGTTAAATTTGCGACCTCTGCTTCTGTGGCCTGGGGTTCCCCGGTTCGGGATTCCAGGTGCAGACCTATACACTGCTCATCGACCCATGCTCTGGCAGCATCCCACATATAAAAAATAGAGGAAGATCGGCACAGATGTTAGCTCAGGGCCAATCTTCCTCACCAAAAAAAAAAAAAAATATATATATATATATATATATATATATATATGCAATAGACAGGAGGGAATGAGGCTGAGGAAATCATAAGGATGTGTCAACACCAAACCGAGGTCTCCTCCTCCACTGAAACAGCAGATCGGGAAGAGAAGGGAAACAAGTAACTTTCTTACTGTGCTACCACAGAAGTCTTCCCCAGATACACTAGGAGTAAACTGTACATGCTCTGGAAAGTTCTGGAAAGGCCATGATGATGTAAAAACTTGGGAAAGTGAGGTGTCTAGAGTTGAAGTTATAAATGAAAAATGGAAGGAGGCATTCCTGGGTCGATCTATTTATCACAAACATCCCTGAGTGAAGAGCGAAATATCTTACACTGAGAGGTTGGCTCTGGTGCAGAGAATCTGTTTTCACTTTGAATTGAAGCTTCTGCAGGGGGGCCTGTCACTCACCAAGCCTCCTCTCTGTCCTTTGTCTCGGGGTGACTCAGCACATCCCAGTAGGTGATTCCAGGTGACAGCCTGCAGCCAACTTGCCTTCTATTCTCTTTCGCAGGCAGAGCTGGCTTCATCTTCATGCATTTATTCTTTTAACCACCCGTGTCACCTAGACGGATGGCTAGAGGAGTGGGCAATGGATTTGAGATCTTGGCACCTCGAAACCTCCTGTTCTGGGTGGCCCAGGTTACCACCGGCTGTAAAGTGTCAGTCCTGGCGGGCGCTGATGGATGGGGTGAGCACCCTGGTGCAGCCTCCCTCCAGAAGAGGATTAAGGGGGACATTCAGAAAGCACAGCTCTGTCCCTGGAGGAAAGGTGCCACAGTGACATCAACACACAGTTCTGCATAATCAGTTCAATACCAGAACAACAAAAATGGGAAGGGAAGATTAAAAAATAATCCAAATTTCATAGCACTGAGGGGTGTGATGAAATGGGGAATAGGGTGAAAGCATGAAGCCCAGAATCACAAAACACTCTCATTTCACTCTTTTAAAACCTCAGGGCTGAGATAGGAAACCACCTTCTTGCCCTTGGGAGAATTCTTCTAAGTCCCTCCGAAAGAGCGTCCACTTCCGAGGTTCTTTCCTTGTGGATGAGCACAGGAGGAGCCGTGAAAGCTGAACACCTTAGGTGAGTGTCGGGAATAATTAACTGGGCCATTCGAGGTGGAGCGTGGTCCGGGTAGGCCCCCTCTCAACTGGGGAAATCTCTCTACCGGGCCCCTGGCAGGAGGCCCAGGATCCCTGAGAGATGCTGGCGACATCTCCCTCAAGGCTTCAGGCTGGATGCCAGTGGTGGCACCAAGGGCAGGGGCAAGGGGGACCAGGGGGTGCGCAGGGGCTCCGCACCCCGCAGCCTCTATTGCTATCCTCCCTGCCCTCCGGGTCTTTGGTTCATGTAACGTGCTTGCCCCCCAGTGCTGCAAGCCCTCTCCCGACACTCCTGGGCGTCCAACCCAGGGTGTGCATTGGTTCTGACTTCCTCCTCCCTCGGTCCTTCTTGCACTCCTCCCATCAGCTCCTATTTCTCCCCTTTCTCTTCTCCTTGTCCCATTTCTATTTTACAATATAAAACTTAAAATTTTATTTAAATTAAATTTATTTAAATTAAATGTAAAGACTGAGGTCGGAGGATTTTTCCACTTCTAGGTGCCCATTATCAAATCCCAAAATCAGAAATTGGGCTTTGATGATAGGACTGAATCTTGGACTCTGAGACTGCCCAGAAAGTCCAGAATACAGCCCTATTCGACTGCGTGATGAAATGACCAGTCATTCGGGAACACAACCAAGACACTCGGCGTTGGCCTCTTGGTAGGATCCAGCTTTTCGTTGCGCTCACCCATGACGTGAAAATGGTTTCAGACATCATGCTCATGCCTGCTCGAAGCCCCGTCTTTTTTCCTTCCAAACACTAGGGTTCCCAGAAGCCTTCCATGATTAGCCAGCAGCCAACTTCAGTTTCTTGGCGTCCTCTCAATCTTCCTAATGAGGAGAGTGCACCTTGCTAACTGATGCCAAGGAGTGTGTGTATCCAGCTACTGACGAGAGCCACCTGCCCCTCACTGAGCCATACGGTGGACAGGCAGTGTGCTAAGCACTTGACACACATCCTGATATTTAATCAATACCATGCGGTAGACACTATTAGCCTAATTTTACAGATGAGAGAAATGGGGCTCAAAGTAAACTGGCCACAGTCATATGGACCCCAGAGCCTCTGCTCTTAAATAGTATGTCACTGTGCCCACAGAATACCCAAAGAGGCCTCGATGGGTCATTGGGTTTGTGTAATATTGATTTAGGTATACATTGTCAAATTACCTGCACCTGAAATACTATTCCAGGTGTCCTCATGCTGTTCCTACATGGAAATACTGAGGTACATCAGCCTGTGTTTATTTTCTATACTGTGCATCCATTTATCCCCCAATCTAGCAGCGAAAATATTTTTCAGGTTTAAAACTTAAATACATGTACATAGATAAAAAATAAAAAGGAATCGATATACTATGGGTATTGCCAACAGAAACTCATGGTTGACAAATTTCTAACGGATTTAACCCCGAATTTCATGTGAATGAATTTAGATTTGAATATCTATAGGTAGCATAATGTGAACGACCTCTAAAGTTTGGAGCCTACACTCTGCAACATTGGCTGTAGAGACCTCAGGCAAATTAATGTGTCGGAGCTTTGGTTTTCTCATCCATAAGGAGAGGACACGATATCTATGTCCCAGGCTCGTGCAGAAGATCAGATAAGGGCGGTCACAGGAAAAAGCCCACCACTGTCCTGGCCAACCATCACTATCTTAGAATTCCCTCCTCAGGTTTCCTTAAACAAAGGATACACATTTGTTTTCATGTTCTTACCAATTTCTTAAAAATCAGTAATTTAATCAAATCCAACTCTTCTCTATATACATATATATAATAAAATTATCTACTGTGCATAAAATCATTTGAGAAGAATGACACAATAACTATCAAGTGACATTTTACTTAACATGATAGAGTGCCGTAGTCTCAGAACAAAGTGACCTTCACTGCTTCGAAACGCCTCCCTTATTTCTCCTGCAACAAATCACACGGTGAAGGAAGACCTCCAGGGTCACGCGGCTCGGAAGGGCTGCTCCTGGGATGTGTGCAGACATCTTTGGGGACTTTGGAGGAAAGTCTTGACAGTTGGTTTTAGTGGGGCTTTTTCTCCCCCGGATCTGTCCTAGCTCCCTTTTTCTCTGGCAGGGCCTCAGTTGCGGGACCACATTTTCTGCCTTTCGTATCCCACCCCCAACACCTCGCCACCTGAAATCAACAAATACATTTTAAATAGGTAGTGCCCATCCCATGCTGCATCAGGGCATGGAGAGAATATAAAAGAAGCAGAAATTGTGGTCCTAGCTGGGAGGCACAGATAATCTCCAAGGCAATTTTGGCATAGGCTGAGTTATCTGGATATTATTGCTGGTATGTGAATTCTGTAATATAAGTTCCAGAAAGTCTAGTGACTTTTAGAAGAGTATATGATGACTAGGGAAAGTGAATCCATTCATTCCTACATAAATAAATGGTCTATAAACTTATTAAATCCTGCTATGTGCCGGGCAGTGGAGCTGCAACAGTGAATAAGACCCGTTCCCCACACTCGGGCAGAGCCCCATCTTGTGGGGAAGATCAACATATAAAAAGCAAGGCCACAGCATGTAATAATTACTGTAATAGACTGGCCAGGACATGGTGAGGACTCAAAGGAGAGCATAGTCAAGTCTACTGGTCATGAGGTGGTGGGAGGGGTGGGTCAGAGAAGATCTTAGAGACCAGGTGATCCTTGATTCTTGTCTCCCAAGATGGACACTGGTCTAGTGGAGAGAGGGTGGAAGATTCCAGAGAACAGTGTGAGAAACCTGACGTATGTGACCGCATGTGTCCAGAGGGAATGGGCAAAGGGCAGCGAGGAGGGCTGTGGGAGAGAGGAGGAAGGCGCCAAATTAAAATCAGAGAAACGTCGGAGATGTGGTTAGAGATTAAACCAAGAAGTTCCCAACACCATGCTAGAGTGAGCACTTTATCCTGAAGGACCCATCGGGGGGTTTTAAATGGGGAGGGACATAGTCAGACTGGCATTTTTAAGAGATCACTCTGACAGTCAGTGTGACAGATGGACTCGATGGATGAGAGTCTGCCGTAAGGACACCAGATGGGACACTGTCTCAATGGGCAAGATGAGAAATGATGAGGGCCCAAACAGGGCCGAAGCAGTGGAAAGAAAAGCAAGGGTGCTCTTAGGAGATGTTAATTCCAGGAAGTCTGAGCTGACTCATCTTGAGGAGGTATCAGAAAGGAGTGAAAGGAAAAAGCACTCACTCACTACAATTAGGAAATGTTTTCTAAGACACTCGGTGAGTATAAGGATCCTCCCTTTTACCCTTAGAGTGCCCCTTGCCTCCTTTACAAGACAGTGTGAGAGTTGGTTATGAGCAGGCTCGAAACTCCAGCTGCGCCCCTTACTAGTGGGGTAACTGAGTGACCCTATGTCAGTGCTTGAGTGCAGCCGGCCCAGGGTGTGCCCTCACTGAGCGCCAGCTGTCATTGCACCCGGCCCCATCTCCCTTCTGATGGCCTGGCTTGTCCTGCAAGGTTGCTGAACCTTGCTGTGGGAAAGCAACTCAGACTTGGCATTTTTAAATATGGCTTTTGTCATTCATGGAGAGTTTATATGGAGGGAGCAACCACCAGCCAGAAGCCAGGCAACCAGAACACCCCAGTTCTTAACACATTGCAGGTTCCCTCTATGCACACAGTGCCACCCAAGGTCCACCCCTCACCGCCACCCTTGCCGTGAGGGCCTGTGCCCACATGTGCACACACTTCAGAAGGTATCGGAAAGGATGGCCAATCATATATGTTTTGATAAGAGGTCAGATATACATTTGAAAACAAGGGAAATCTCAGTTTTTGCTCAGAAGAACAACAAGGAGTATGACCTTGAAGATCCAAAGGGGACACAATGTCTGTTCAAAGACATCAAGGATCTTTTTTGATTACTTGACTTTTCAACTAAGTACGTGATACACAGTTCTGTTGGTTATGGAGAAAACTGATTTCCTCAAAAGCCTTTCCAGGAAACGATAAACCTTCTTCCCTCCTGAAGAAGGAGGCTAGATTTGTACAAAATTCTGTGTTTATTTTTTATATATATAAAATAGCGTGGCTCTCACTTAAATTCCGATTTCTTGTAACAATAAAGTTGTTCTTGAGTCAGTTAACTTGGGAGAGTGATTTGGACCGCATGTATATTCTCCTCAGACATTCAAAAATAAGGGCCCCAAATTCATCTAGGGTGACAGAAATCAGAACAGTGGCTGTTGATGGCAGAGAGGCAGGGAGGGAACTGAAAAGGGCCATGAAGGAAATTTCTGGAATGATGAATGTGTTCTGTAAAGATAGAGATTGGGATGTAGGTTACACATTTGTCACAACTCATAGAACTGTACACTACAGATTATACTTGAATTTTTTTAAAAGGAAAGAAGGAAGGAAGCAAGAAGGCAAGCAGACCTCCAGTTAAACGTGGTAGACTGCCCACATTCATTATATCACCTCCTCTGGAAACCCCTCGAAAATAAGAGTAAAAGGATAATATCAATGCAAGCCCATGAAGAAAGTGGGACCAGGAGAGAAGACATCAGGGACAAGCGAGTTCATCCCATTTCTGAAGATGGAAAGTGGATGGAGGGGTAGGAATTGCCCAGATGGAGCTGAGGAAGCTGCAGCTGAAGTGCTGGGGAGAGGGCTGACCAAGACGCCGGCTTCTTCCCCTTCTGAATCCCGGGAGCCGCACGCCATTCCCAGGCAGGAGACTGGAGGTTTCCTCTTGGACTCTGGCACCTGGAGCTCCGTGGAGAAGCAGGTCCCACCCAAGCTTAGAGCGCTCATAGGAGCTTTTTAGCACCTTGAGCCTCAGTATAAATGGACAGACGTGAGAAATGCCTCTACCACGTAAGAAGGAAACCAAAGCAAACTGGGAAAAGGAACCCGGAGGAACCAGAGACAATGTGAGGAGTGGAATAAAACATTTAAGTAAAACTACAACTAACGTCTTTAGAGAGAAAAGAGAATACATTACACCCCTAAGAAAAGGATACTGTAGAAAAGAAACAGAGAACTAGAAATTGAAAATGTGATAGCAGAAATATTTAAAAATCAATAGGAAAAAAGGAAGATAAAGCTTAGTAAGTTTCCCAAAAAAGAAAACCAGAAGACAAAAGATTAAGGACTTAGAGGAAAAATCCAGGAATCTCATTTCTGGCTACTAGGAATGTCAGAGAGAACAGAGACGAAAGAAACGATCAACCTATACGAGAAAATCTCCCCACACTGAAAGACAGGGGTTTCCAGATTAAAAGGGTCCACCGAATACCCAGCCCAAAGATTTAAAGCACCCCCTCACCAAAGCACAAAGTTGTGAGATTCAGCACACCTGGGATGGAGAGAGTGTCCTGAAAGCTTTTAAAGAGAGAAAACAGTTTCCATACAAAGAAATAAGAATTAGAATGGCCCTTTCAACAGCTTCCTGTAAGCCAAAGGCAATGGGACAGTGCCTTCAAAATTCTGAACAGAGGTGTTTTCAGCCTAGACTTTAATACCCACCAACAGTACCTGAGAGAAAAATAAAGACATTTTCAAACATTCTAAAGCATGTATCATCTATGCACCCATTTTTAGGAAACTGCGAGAGGCTACTGGTGGTCTAGTGGTTAAGATCTTGGGTTCTCATCACCATGGCACGGGTTCATTTCCTGGTCACAGAACCACACCACTCACCAGTCAGTTGTCGTACTGTGGCAGCTGCATGTTGCTCTGATGCTGAAAGCCATGCCACCCGTATATTAAATATCAGCAGGGCCACCCATGGTGGACAGGGTTCAGCAGAGCTTCTAGACTCAGACAGACTAGGAAGAAGGACCTGGTCACCCACTTCCAAAAAATTGGCCATGAAAACCCTGTGAACAGCAGCAGAGCATTGTCTGATAGAGCGCAGGAAAGGGAGAGGATGGCGCAGACAGACCAGGCAGGGTTCAGCTCTGCTGTCCACAGGGGCGCTGGGAGTCAGAATCAACCCCACAGCCCCAACAACAAACTAGAGGTCATGCTACAGCCCAACAAGTGAGTGAAACAAGAAAGAAAATGATAAAGGATTCCAGAAACCGGGAGTAGAGGAAAGCAAGGAAGGGCAGCTCTTTCCCTCTGAGGTCAGACCTCCCCCCTGGAACTCACACCTGCAAGGCCTCCATCCCCTCCGCCTTGGGGCATCTCTCCAGCCCCCTCCCCCTCCCCCACTCCCCTCCACTTCAAGCCGTCTAGCAAAATCTGCCTGACCCGCTAAGGCTCTCAGCAGAGGCTGAAGGAATCTGTCTTCAAGCTCCTCTGCTTTCAACCTTCAAGGGCCTCTGGGCTAGGACACCAAAGAGCCCAACTAGCCTAGAATGAGAGGAGGGCAGAAGACAGAGAGGCAGGCACATATTCCTGTCTCAGTCAGCTGCTCTGTCCCTCTGATCTGGAGACCCTGAGGAAGGCCAGTTGCCAGGACCTTTGTATAACAGTGATGCAGGCTCGGCAAGCCAAGGAGTGGAAAGAAAGATTTCTTGGACTCTCAAGGTCTGGCAGTAGTGCTCTTTTATTCAGAGAATAGTGTGGAATAGCGTGGGGACAGGACCCATGGGCCGGAAGAGCTGCAGGCATGGGTTGAGGGTAGGGCTAAATTTAAGACATAGGTATGTGAGTTATCTCTTTACAAGACAAAGGAAAGAATATATAAAAAAAGTCGTTAAAATGGTATCAGTGCAGGTGGGGTCTGGTTATTGGGTGGCCCTATAACTTTAGATAAGAATCAGACCGGATTAAGTCAGGATGTCCTTGCCTTCCCCATTAAGAGTTTCTAGAGATAAGGTCATCCCCACCTCTTCCTGGTGCAGAGAGGGAGACACCCCCACAGATGGAGACCTCCCTTACAAATGCAAATATTTCTTAACAAAGGGCAAGCAAATTCTACTTTGCAGAGTCTCCTTCCCGTCTGCAGCTTTTAAAAGTAACCAGCCCAAAATAATCCTCATCAACAGGACTCAACACATTTCGGTCAAACGTGGGAGACTTAAGACCACAGAATGCTCACTAGGTCAGGAGTGTCCCATTCAGCCCAGGGCCATAAGCATTTGGCAAAGGGAGAGCTGGGGAGGGGTTGAAAGAGCTCCTACCTCAAATAGGCCTTCTCAGGATTCTCCTCTCTCCTTTCCAGCTTCCATGTTTCATCTTCCACTTGACCAAGTCTCTCCTCAGCACCTTAGTCTGGAAGCACCTACCAGCTGTGGTGCGTGCACGCAACAGCTCAGTGACACTGACAGGACTGGGGACTGAAATTAGACAACAGAATCCCCAAAGCTGTAAAGACACCCTGCCACCTCAGCCCTCCTCTCAGCTCTGCTCCTAGCACCAACTCAGCCCTCTGCCCAAATAGTTCTCTTCTGTCGACCAGACCTGAGCTGAACCATGCGGAGAACCCACGGAGGTAGTCCTGCACCAAAGCAGACGGATTTTTAGTTCAGGTTCACTACTTGAAGCTATATTTCTTAATTTTTAAAATAATCCTGAAACAAACACAAGGTTTTTTGTAAACATTCAAAGAGTTAATGGCCTCGTTGAATCACATGTGGGAACTTCCAGCCCTCAGAAGGGCAGAGATACCTCCTGGTGCAAGACAGTCCCCGTGTCCCTGGGGCAGGAGTCACTCTTGGCTCCCAAAGCTGTAGGCACTGCTTTACGGCTCGCCTTTTCCGCGCAAGGAATAGCTTCCCAGCCCTTCCCCTAGCGGAATGTATTCTCTACTATCAGTGGTTTAAGAAGCAGTTTGTTTAACTATCACCTCAGCCAAACAAAAGACATTGCAGAAAATACTGTACCCTTGGAAGCTTTTAACAAAGGCTCTGGTAACACTTGCTTGCCACCTGTCAATCCTTAGCTTTAAAGAAGCGACAGGGGCCGGCTCTGTGGCCGAGTGGTTGAGTTCCTGCGCTCCGCTTCAGCGGCTCAGGGTTTCACTGGTTCAGATCCTGGGTGCAGACATGGCACCACAGATCAGGCCACGCTGAAGCGGCGTCCCATGTGCCACAACTAGAAGGACCCACAACAACAACAAAAAATATACAACTATATACTGGGGGGATTTGGGGAGAAAATGCAGAAAGAAAAAGAAAGTAAGATTGGCAACAGTTGTTAGCTCAGGTGTCAATCTTGGCGAAAAAAAAAAAGAAGCTACAAAGAAGAAGGGGCATTTTCCAAAGCGTTAACACGTTACTGGTATTCATTTTAGAAATAAGTAAGATTACAGAGGTCTGATTAAAGTTAGGTATTGGCTTTGAAATAATTAGGCACCGGCTTTTGAAGTAAATCAAAATTTTAGGCAGCAGCAACCACACGATCGCTTTTGAACACAAGTACAACATTCTGTACCATTGACAGGCTGAACGCTTTGACTGTCAGCTAACGGCCTCCAAGGCTGACATGACAGATGGACAAGCCTACCCACTAAGCACAGTCACCGACAGACGCCCGGCCCTCTCCGCCCTCGCTCTTGGAGGCCCAGGCAGGCTCTGCTGACACCTGGTGGCAGACAGCAGGCAGACGGGACCAAGTCCAGAGCAGACGTCCCTCGACTCCACCTGCTGCCTGGCCTTCTAGTCTGTGTAATGAGTATTGGCTAAAACAGCTGGAAAGGTGTTATATTGGAGGAAGAGCTGCTCTGCAAGATGCCCAGATTAACGGTCGGCATTAATCAGCACCGGGAGAGAAGCCTGGGCAGGTGTCTAGAACATTCTACCTGCAAAATCTGCCTTGGCAAGATTTTTCTTCCCAAAGATTCTATTTGTTTGAACAACCTCTGTGTCCACCTCTGTATCCATTTATTCTACCGCCCCTACCCCCGCTCCCGTTTTAATCAAATTATGCCCAGAGAATAGAAAAAGGGAGGGCCTTATTCTTACAAAAAGGAAATTTAAATTGTTCTGCTATTGTTAATTAGCTCAGTCCTAATTGGGAACAATTCCAACCGGAAGAAAGAGGACATGTACAAGAAACATGTGGCAGGTAATTGCTAAGAGTCAGTTGCACCAGGAAAGGGGATGGGAAGGGAAGGATTCTTGGAAAATGAAAATGGAGTCCTTCCCTGGTTTCCAGGAATACTGCTGGGCTGTGTGGTTGGAGCCGACAGGTTGGGGAGAGAGAACTGGCACGCAGCGAGAAACACCTGACTGGTAGGCAGGGCCTGGCTCTGCTGCCCACCGCTTGCTGTGGGACAGCCCCTCGTCTGTGTCTAAATGTTCCCTCTGTGTAATAAGAGGAACAGTCTTCTTCGTGAAATAGCACCGTGCCAGCTCTCCCCCAAATACAGTATGTGCGTGCCAGGCACCGAGCCAGGTCATCCTACTGAAGCCTCAGGGCAAGTCTGAGAGGTCAGTGTTAATGTCCCCACTCAACGGGAGAAGAAACTGAGACCCAGAGAGGCTGAGAAGCTTGCTCAAGGTCACACCTCCAAGCTGGTGACACCGCTGCTGTCACCCAGGGCTGTCTGCCTTCAAAGCCAACGCTCCTCCCTTCTCATCGGGCTTGCTTAAAGCAAACACTGAAAGACAAATAATTCCAGAACATGCAAAAGTGCCCCATTTGCCTTTTTCAATTTGTCTAATTTTAAATGTCACCATGAGTTCACTTCTAGGTCACTTTTAAAACAAGCAACTTTGCTTTAAGGCAAGAGGGAAAAAAAAAAAATCCTGCTGTAACTTGTACAGCTGTAGAATCCACTGTTCAGATTTCTCCTCAGCTTCCCAGGGACAGTTCAAACAGAAACAAATGACAATCTAGGACACTGATCTTGCCGATGGTGAATAACCACCACGGCGTTTTTCCAGCTGGTAAAAAAGCCCCCACAGGCGGCGCAGGATGGCCTCCGGGCATACACAGGAGCTGCAAGGCGGAGAGGAACTGTCAGCTGCATAAAAAAGCAGGTGCAGCGGCAACTAGGTTCAGACCGATGAAAACAAACTGAGTGTTAATATTGCTCATCTCGTGTCCTCAGTTCCGTTTGAAACACACACGCATCCAGGACTGCTGGCCAATTTCTCCAGAGCCCAGGCTACATCAGGGTATAAATCTGGATGACCATTCTTCAAGGAAAGAAGCTTCTAGAGTTTATCCAATCTTCATGGGTCTACTTCGCTTTGAGATGAGCTTCAAGAATCTGTAAAGTTTTGCTTTAAAATTCAAATACAATCTCAGAGTCATGCATTCATTCAAGAAATATTTCTGCTGGCCTATTAAGTGTCAGGGACTGTTTTATATACTGGGGACATTCTAATAGCAGGAGATAGACCAGAACAATATATTTTTAAGTAGAGTTAGAAGGACAGGGTGTGCTGCAGGGGGCAGGCATTTGCTATTTTATGTAGGGTGAGCGAGGAGGCTTTCTTTAACGGCATTTGAGCGGACACCTGACAGAAATGAGGAGACAATGCCACAAATAACTCCGAGAAAAGGCATTGCAAGCAGAGGGAAGAGCAAGTGCAAAGGCCCTGGGGTGTGAGTCTGTTTGGCATGCACCAGGATGAGACCCATAGCCAGGTGGCTACTGCAGAGTGGGGGCAGATGCTAGATGAGCTCACAGAGGTGGGAGAGGCTGATCATGTAAGATCCTGTAAGCCTCAGCAGAAAATTGGCTTTTTCTCTGAGCGAAGGTCTTAAGCTGAGGCATGACAGGATCTGACTTATGTTCTAGAAGAATCACTCTGGCTGCTGGGTGGAGAATTGTAGTGGGGGTAGGAGTGGGAGGAGAGGGAGCCCAGTTAGAAGGCAACTGCAATAATCCAGGTGATGGATAGCGGTATCTTGGACCAGGTGATAGTAATGAAAGAGGTG